GGTGGCGACGAACCCCCACCAGCACTTTCACAACAGAGAGCTTTCACAAAGGAGCACTTTAATGCTATTAAGTTGAGCCAGCTAGTTCATTTCTATGGCATATTACTCCCACAAAAAGAGGGTAGACTGTAGAAAACGCATCAACCCTTCCTTGCGCAATTATCTGTCACATGGTGACCTGCGTCATGTTGCTATCTGATTTTCGGCAGTCTTTTAGTTGATCGGAGGTCACTACAACCGATACAAGAACGACGACCCTGACGGTGACATGAAGCGGTCAACGCTGCTCGCACATCCATCTCGTCCGGAAGTAGATAACTGTGTTAACACAACGCTCCCGGAAGACTGAGACAGATAATAGTGCAGGTGACTACTCGCACCAAAGTGCGCTCTTCGGCCCAAGACACCCACTTTGTACCGCAAATTTAGCGCCTGAACTCTACCACTGAAAGAGCTCCTTTTACTTTTCTAAGGCACTCCACGGAACCAATCTTCCACTTCTCTAGCCAATGGTCGCATAATACACATATAATCACCCAGCCAATGTCACGCAACCATCCCATATGTCCTTCTTGAGCATATTGAGGACATACATAAGTGGCACAAGATACTCAACATCAATTGAAGTGCTGCCAATGGGCACCTTTACTAGTCTTCCAAGGACAAACAACTGCCCAGCACCAAAGGAACTCGCCAAAATGCAAAGGACCTTATGTGGAAAAACCAGCGTCAGCCTAATCAGATATTGTCTAGCAGCGAAGCGAGCCATGCCATTTGGTCAATACTGAGGCACTATGCAATGCATAACGTTCAAAGCCCTTTGCCAATCCAGCCACCCCTTAAAATACCACGCCCTTCCGAAACGAAAGCGCACTAACTGATTAAATCTCTTACCTTTCCTTCCTCGAATCCTAGAATAGCTCTTGCCCAGGCGACAAATTGGTTGATAAGATCGGCCTGCTTTTCTTTCTGGGTCTTCTGGGCTGGTGCGGCAGGCTTCTCTTCAGTTTTTGCTGGCTCTGCGGCGGGTTCTTCCTTCTTCTCTCCTCCTTCTTGGGACGGCTCAGCGGGTGCCTCTGCCGGCTTTTCTGCTTCAGCTGCAGGAGCAGACTCAGTCACCGGAGCCGCCTCTGCTGTTACCTCAGGCTCAACATTCACTGCTCCAGGCTGAAAAAGAGGAAGTATAGAGTATGAAAATATTCCGCAAATGGATTGTTCACTATTCTAGACGCGCTC